TATCGTGGTTCCTATTCAACTCAGCAACGCTGGTGGGGCGCAGTACAATGTTTTCTTTCAACGCACAGGGCCGTCGCCTGCGTCTTCCTGGAACCAGCTCCACGTACTTGTCTTTCACCGCCTCCAGAAAGCTCCCAGAGGTAAATGCCAGTTTACCAACCCTCTCCAATAACGCCGGCACAAATGCGCTCCTGGAAAGCAACATCATCCTCATCATTTCAGACAACGACTTCACCTTCGACACCTGAATCATGGCGGAATTCGCGAAGTGTGTGGTAAGATACCCGTTGTAAAATTTCTCATTCCCTCCCGGACTCAACAATCAAACAATTTTCACAAGCTTGTAAGACACATTTGTCTCAGTCCAATCGACCGCCACTTCCACGCGCATGTAATACTTGGCATTTAAAGCGTTGATACTTTTCACCTCGTCGTTGGCGATACTGCGCTTCTTCCAAGCACGCCCACTGAAGATGGATCGTAATATCGGTCCCACATCATCCATGTGTTTTTTGGCCATCGTCCAGTACTTCATTTGCTCCTCCGCGGACTCACCACGCTTCTCCCAGGCACACATCGCCTTCACATCAATCTCGTCCGGGCGATTCATAACGAGTTGGTTTCCACCCATTTGTTTCTCCCACGATTTGTAGTTATCTTCTTTTGGGGATAACAACACAATGACGCCCCATGACTTGGAGGGCGGATAACCGCACGACGGCTCACGGCCTTCTTTATCCACGTCGTAGATAACAAACCCCTTCAGTTTGCGCTGCCTAACCAAATCATCCATAAGGTTGCTGATATTGATCTCATCCATGTATTTTGTCACCGTTATCGTCGTTCTGTCAAACACGTACGCCAGATCCCCTCCAAAGCAGTAGACAACGACGTGGAGTTGCTTATCATCGTAGTGCAGCAGCTGGTAGAGGAGGTATGAGCCGGCGCTCATCGACTTCCCGATACCGGGCGTTCCAAGCAAAACACGCCGCCCCACACCTAACTTTTTTTTATCCTTGCCGTCTAACAATTGGTTCAGATCGCCCTGCACTATCCTCCAAACACGCTCCACCTCAGAGTTAACGTAGCAATCCTTGGTAGCTATTCTATTCTGCGCCAACGTGCACGGCCACCCCTTCTCAGAGGTGAGTATCATCAGCCTTGGGCGCGGTGCACGAGGCTGGTCTGCAGCGGCATCCAGTTCAAAAGTTATGCCCTGCGCCTTGTACACCCACGGCTGTGTTGGTGGCTGGCCCTTTTTTCACCTTCATTCGGACCACCCCTTTCTCACCTTTGCCCTCGGGAAATTCCAAGACGTGGCTCCACCTCGCGTTGAAAACAGAGTCGTAAAATCCCTCCAGAATCACCGGTGCAGCTGGGGCTGCTTCCCGTTTTGCCTTTTCGTTTGCCTCCGCCGTAGCAAGGGCTGCGTCAAGCTCCCCCTTTGCAAAAAGGGTAACCGTGTTTTTCTGTTCAAATTCCTTTCATTGAGCGAGAGAAGACACGCCTTGGCCCGCAAGCTTGCGTGCGTCCCGCAGGAGCTGATACGCTTGTGAATTAAGAATTCTTCGTAGGAGCCGTTCGTCACTGATGCAATCCTCAGGCCCCTGAATAAACGCCCCCAGTTTTACACCGCGGCCTTCATCAGCCACAAACTTGGGACCAAGGTACTTACTAATGAAGTCGTTTAGCTCCATTTGTTCTGTGGCATTTACTCCCTCCAACAGCACATCTTCGACGCTGGTGGCAAGTGTCCACTGCTGCTTACTTCGCTGCTCCCTCCCTTGGCCCTGTGCGGACTGCGCGCCACCGCCGGACACGCGGCGCCGTTCCATCAGAAGAAACGATGGGTGGAGGACCCCGCGCACACCGCCGGCGCGCGGCCAACGGGCACACGCGTCGCCGACGCACAGTTGCGGCTGTGGAGTGCTGCGCACCCCACGCGGTCGCACCGCGGCAGCTCTCGCCGCGACAATTGAGACGCACAGCTTTTGCCGCATTGCAACGTGAAATCGCACAAAACCCCGCCACATTATCGATATCTTCTTCACTCAACTGGTGTGTGTGTCTGTGTGTGTTTGCCGTATCACTAGCACTAAAAAAAGAATTCTTCACAGCCACAAAAGAGAGAGAAAAAAAAGAGAGAGGCACAAACGAGACGCACCTCCCCAACGCCCCCGCAGCCACGCAGCGGGAGGACGGACGGCTGGCGGGGCGCAGCAGGCCCGGGCAGCAACAACTCACTGCGGCCAGCTGCGCCAGTGAGACGCACACCCGCAGAGCGGCGGATCAAACGCGTCGCGTGGGCCGCACGAAGGCAGAACTCCACGGCAGCGGCGGCCACCCCCCGCCTCTGCGCCTCCGTCACGGCGGCAACAGAATAACCGCTCGCGGCCGCACTCCCCTCACAGACACACGCACATGCGGAGGCGAAGAACACAAGAGCAGCGCGCACACACACAGCCGCAGCGAGAGGGAAGTGGC